GATCCAGTAGTTGTTTATCTCTCTTTTTCTCAGCCTCTTTATTTTCCATCATTTGGTCTTCTATATCGCTGATTCTCTCTTCTGCCTCATTTATTCTAGCATCACTATAAATTCTTGAGTGAAAAAAGCAAGTTACTTAAAATTTTAAAAGTATAATTACATTCATATATGTATGTATATATTTAATTAAGTGTATGTATATGCATATAATCAGATGTACTCAGGCAAATTTGACAATAGTTACTAATAGGTAGTAAGAAAACAGGTAATTCTAATTTTATTTCTTTCTGTGAATTTACACTTCCTAAATTTTCTATAATGTTTATGCATTACTTTGGTAGTAAGAAAAAATAAAAAAAATATGTTTCTAAAAACAGATGTACTTTGTTTAAAGCAACAGAAATCCCTTTTTCAAATGAAATCTTATGTGAAAACCCAATTCATGGAACTAATAAAAGGGGTAGTGTAGGGGTGGCAAGCCTAGAGCTCTGCTCACTTGGTGGGCATCCTTTAGCACCACTGAAATGTCAGGGCTAGGGGAATTCTGCTGAGAAAAGAATGCATGCACACACCATCCCTAGGACCTACATGATGTGTTGTTCATGAAACCCAGACAGGCTCCATGATTGCTGGTTACCTCCATAGTTACTCATAAAATACTGCTTAATAGCTTATTCCACTTAGTCCTTTATATTCATTGCCATACGTTCATTTGTTAAGCACTTTTTAAGAAGTTTTCTAGATTTTAGCTTTGCAATATCTAGTTTAGTTGTGGATTAGAACGAAAATGATTTTGTCATTACCAGAAATACCTGTAGGTAACTATGATTTGATGCCACTCCCTCAGATTTCATTGAAGGTTGATATGAGAGATAACTTCATGAAGAGTGTATCCCCATCTTCCCTAAAACTATTATTAAATATATTGTCCACTGCAGTGTCCAAAGGTCCCTTATACAAGGATACGTGTGATAAATTCCCCTAAAATTTTAGTACCAGAAAAGAAGTTTGCCCATTTTTATAAATAAGTATGATTTCCTTTTATAGTGCTGTATTATTCCTATACAACACATCATGTTTCCCTTTTGGCTTTGGCTGCCAGAAAGCTCAGAGCTATATTTATTGCCAAACCACAGCAACAAACAGCTGTCTAATTTTGCAGAAAAACTCTATCCCAAAGCACTTGAGTATTTACTTTCAACTAAATGGTCCCATGATATGCATGGCTCATGTTATAAGTTGTCTCAAATCCAATTTGGAAATAGGCAAGGATTAAATAATAAACAAGCAAACAAACAAACAAACACATAAGTAATTTAGACTAAGCAGGCTTAGTATTGGCAGTAGAAAATGCTTACACCTAGAGTTTGGTTTGTATCAAATGCCTAAGGGGCACATTGCTTAATCTGAAGTATTGCTCTGGAGTGAGTGTGCCCCTGGGTGCAGCCATGGACTTTTGGGTCTTTCTGCTACTGAGGCCCACATCTACATTCACCCATCCCATGATGCTTGCTCCCTAGAGGGGGTCTGCGTGACATCCAATAAGGATATCAGCTTGTAAAGGGTGGCAAAAAAGCAAGGTACAGATAAACGAGCAATTTACACATGGACTGTAACCTTTAACTAGTTAATAAAACAAGATCTTGCTGAAATGGACCAGGAAATAGAAAGACAATTTTCACACATAAAAATAAACAATTTTTAGGTATTGGGGTATGTGTATGTGTGTGTGTGTGTGTGTTTATTACAATGTTCAAAGGTAGACTAAAAAATAGCAAGTGAATTGAGATACTTCTTTACCTTTCTACAAGGTCAAATATATATTCTTATTGTTAACATGACTTACATTATTTTACGAATGTTGAGTGCTGAAAAGGGCATAGAGTCTGGAGGAAAGGAAACCAAAATTATTTTGAATGGCTGATATAATTTTTTTACCTTCATTATTTCATTTAAGGGACACTATTGTTCTTTTTCTCTGGAATGAATAGGCTCTTCAGCAACCTCCCTAATAACAAGGGAAGGCATTAACATAACAGACATTGTGTTGCAATGATTTAGATACAAGGGCCCCTAAGTGTGGACTCTGGTAATGTAGCCTTGATATAGTATGGCTCTCCGCATCAGCAACAGATGCCTTCAAAGCCTTTGGGAATAGCTTGACCTCTGTAACTCAGCAGTAGGACAGCTTATCATTACAAGAAAGACTTGCCATGCTTTTCACAGGAGAGCCAAAACCAGTCTATGAGCAAGTGGGCCAGGCAGGTTCCTGAGACCCCAAATATCTTCCTCCTCATGAGGGCTTGCCTGATAGTCCACAGATGTAGTTTCATTCAAGGCAGCAATGCTTGGTCCTCAAGGAGCCCAGCTCTGGAATCAGATCTCCTACTTTTAAATCCCAGCTTTTTAAAACCACTTACTGTTGGCTGAGTAACCTGGGTGTAGGCCCTAACTTTGAATCTTTCTGTGAATTAGTAAGAACGTCCACGAAAGGCGGTTAGCCAGCACTTGGCTCATGGTACACCTTCAATATATGTCAGCTTCTATTATTATTATTTAGACTTAAAGTACCACCTAACAAAATGTAAATACCCAGAGAGGCATACCTTGTTACCAGCTAATACTTGGGGGGGCAGGAGAGGCGAGTCTCACCACCTGAATGTCAATTAAGATGACAGTAGCCAGCAGCAAGGGATCCAGGATTGAAACCTGGGAGAAGCAGGGAACTAGGCGAAAGGAGAGAAATGACTCTGACGTTTTGCTCAGAGCCACGGTGATTCTTCTACACGGAAAAGCACCCGGTCGTTGCAGCTATATCCAAGGGCAAATCCTCGCTGTTGCAGAAAGGCAATCTAATCGCTGAATCCAGATCACCGCATCCGCGGCCCTCCGGACATTAGGGACGGCCCCTTTCTCTATTAACTGCTCCACCACAGGGATTTTATATATAGACTTTCTATGGTAAGAGATATTAGACTGTAGCGCCGCCACATCAGCTCTTTGTTTTTTGTATGCAAGGGTTCTCAACACTGATGTGTGTGGAAATGTGCACACCCCAGAGAGGCTTCCACCGGGCTTGCCATTAGCAGCCAACCGAAAACCACCACCCTTTTCTGCAAAGCCGCTGCGCGTCCCTTCGCACTCGGGAGTAGACTTCCATTCGTAAAGTCATCCGTCACCTCTATAAATCAGCCATTTGTTGATTTTAACATCCCCTCCTGACCAGCAAGGAGAGAGAGGAAATGCCATTTTGGAGACTTTCCGTTAAGCTGTTGCGTACAAAACGGATGAGGGATTTTTTTTTTTTTTCTCCTCGGGGTACCCAGGAAAGGCTGATTCAGAAAGACCCGTGTGAGAGAGAGTCCATTCCCCTCCCGCTGGGTCAGGGAGGGGTCCTTCCCGGAGCGCACACGCGGCCCGCACCCCTGCGTGCGCCCCGCAAGTGCAGCACTGACCTGTCAGGCCGGCAGCCTCCGCAGACAGGAAGGCGCTCCAAGACAGGAGGAAAAACAGGCCGGTTTCCAGCAGAGGGAACTCACAGAGTTTGGTAAATTTGGTCAAGTGACAAAGACAGGTTAAGGGAAACAACAAATGCCGGTAGAGCTAAATCTCCTCCTTGGCCGAGGAAAACGAATCTGGTTGAGATCGTTTCGGAGTAAGAGAACTGATTCGCAGCGCTGACTGGGAGGCCGTGCCTCTCATTGGGCGGGCTTGGAAGGCCAGCATGCATTTCACGCTTCGTGGGGAGCTGAACGCTCCAGTAAGAAGGCAAACCTGTGTTCACATTTTTAAAAAGGTGTCTTACTGAGGAGGAAGATAAAATCAGCTAACTGTGGGTCCAAAAGCTCTTGAATTTGGCCTTGGCCCTTGGGGCGTGCCCCTCAGGGGACGGCAGCAGATCAGGGAAAACAAAGCCATGGACAAGGAAGCAAGTGCATCAGTACCCAAGGAGAACACTGCTCCCTGGGGAGCCAGATAGTCTGTGGACAGATCACCTTAAAGACTCCTCTCTTGAGGATGGGAGTTGGATCAGGAGGAACATTCATGTTCAGTGGTAGGGAAGCTACCCATGCCATCTTAGTATAAGTAGGCTAGAGGAAAAGTTGTATTATTTCTAGGTCAGGTAAGCAGCCCTTTGGCAGGCAATGGTTCATTTTGGCTGGGATGACACTTGGTCAGTAGCCTACAAATTGCACATAGAGCAAGGGCAGAGTGATCCAAATCATGCAGAGAATGGGTTATGGGAAGATGATTAGGAATTTGTGATGGATGGAAAAGGGTTACATTGCAACTGTGCCCTCACTTAGGCAAAAAAATGCCCTGACAAATAAGGAGATGTTATGTTGCATTTTTATGCTTCAGGACAAAATCTAAAGAGATTCTACTTAATGTAGATGTTTAGCAGTAGGGCAGGGAAGCAAAAAGCATGACCCATGGAGTGGAAGATCAAGGTCTGAGTCTTGGCTCTGCTAGTCACTGGCTGTGTGGTTTCTGAGCAATATATTAACCTCTCTGAGCCTCATTTCTAGCCTATGTGAATTGTCAATGAGAATAATACCTACTCTCTCAAGTGTGGAGAGTAAAATGAGATGAAGTATGTTTAAAATGTTTTGCAAAATTATAGAAAGCACAAAATGCCAAGAAGAGGCAGAATGATATCATGGTTGGGAATGTAGCCTCTGGAAGCCAACTCTACTTCAATGTATCAGCTTCAACGTGTCCCCTGACCACTTTGTGCCTTGGTTTCCCTGTCTGAAAGTGAAGAAAATCATGTAACCTACCTCCTAGGTATATAAACCGGTTATCATGCGTTAAGTACTCAAAAGAGTGCCAGATACGCAGCAAGGAATATATACGTTTTTCTATTAGTGTGACTTAAATTAATTTGTTTTGTAATACATCTTTCCCAGACATAGATTCAGTAAGCGTCTGGAAGCAATTCTTTATCTGGAAGAAAACACAGGTTGCCCTTTGACCCTTTCAGCATTCCCTCTTATTACTTGGAGGGCAGGCTTTTTGTTTTTAGTGGGGTTTGTTCCTCTGAATTCCCTCTTCTACTTTGTTGTGGAGAAGGCTTAGACCACTTTGAGTAACAGGATATCAAGTGGACATAGGACATTTGTGTCTTTCAACCTTCGCCAGAAAGCAGTTTAGTTCTGGGTCAAGACCTAAGCTTGCCTAGAGCCCAGGAGCCTATACCTGAGGAGCATCACCTCATTATGGACAAGGTATCAAGGCTTATCATGGTGGAGGGAATAACTGTGCACCTGTCTCCTTTGCAGCCTGAGTTTGGGAAAGGCAAGGCCATCAGGTGCTGTATGACAGATCCTCCCCCTGAGACTGAGCCCCTGTCTCTTCTCTCTCTCCACCATTTTTTTCCAGATCTGATCCAATCCCATGGCAGACTTCTAATCTCCAGGAATTTTTTTCCCTTTCCTTGCCAACTTGTTTACTTATATGTGTCCATACCTTCCCTTCATATCAAGCAGAAAAGAGTTCCAATTTCAGTTTTTTCACCTAGTGCAGGCTCTGGAGCCAGAAAGTGTGGACTTAAATCCCAGCCCTGAAATGTCTCAGCTGTATGGCTTTAGACAAGTTGTTTAACCTTTATGTGTCAGTTTTTTTAGCTGTAAAATTGAGATAATAACAGTATCTTCCTCCCAGTGTTTTTATAAAAGCTATATGAGAAAATCCATTAGCAAAATGCTAATGACAGCGGCTGGCAAATGGTAAAGTTCTCAACAAATGTTACAGTAATAATTGTGTTGGCTATTACTGATATGTGACCCAGAGTAGCTACTTAACCTCCTTGAGCCTCAGTTTCCTTATGTGTAGAGTGAGGATAATAATAGCCTATCTTACAGGGTTGATTCAAATGAGGAGATACATACAAAGGCCTTGGCACATGCGAAATGTTGCTATCATCATTACCATTACTTATGCAAAACAACATGTGGCTTCCATCATAATTCCACTTAATAATCAAGAGGAAATAGGGATCAGTGATCAAAAGTATGGTCTGTCTCTTGGTTTCAATCTCTGGGTTTGAATTTTGGCTTTAATACTTACAAGCTGTATGATGCTGGGTAATACCCTACCCTTTCTAAGCTTCAGTATCCAACAAAAATAATATCTGCGTGACATGGTCATTGTGAGGGTGAATGAAGTATAGCGTGTAAAACAAATAGAGGCCTGTGTATCATAAGTACTGATATTAATCATTAGATTATTAATCATTATTTTTATTAGAGATCAGCCCTACCTTTTCTGAATTACTTTATTTCTTTGTCAAAGGAGTTGACATTCTCTAGGGTTTCCAGGACAAAATTCTGGAGTGGCCTTTGAGTCTCTCCTCTTCTAATCCTATTCTAGTCCTAGAGATTCTTCTAAACATTGGACTCCTTCCTGATGTTTCTTTCGCAGTTCATCATCACAGTTTTTCTTGATTCTAATCCTTTTCTGACTCATCCTATGAACCAGTTCCTCATTTATTGTTTAAAAACAGGACTTTCAGCATGTCACTCTCCTGAGCAGAAACCTTCGGTAGCTAATTGCAGACTACAGACAGAAGCTCAGATTCCTTTGAATAACACTCCAAGATATTCCACAGGGTGAGTCCAGCCCACTTGTGTCTCCTCATCTTCCACTGCTCACCAAACCGAGAATTCTGGTCCTCTCAGACCAGCCTTACACTTCAATGAAGGCTGGTTTTCTCCTGAATCACTCATCATATAGCCTTTGTCTGTATCCTACCTATATTTCAGGCCAAGCCCACATTCCTCTCTGCATGTAAATGTTACTTTTCAAATTATTTTTCAGAATTATAGGCTGGTCAAGAGTCTATCGGACTATTTCAGAAACAATGGACTCATCCACATTTGAATTTTTAGAGTCCTAATAAGTTGGCTGTGGTTTTGGCACCCACCTTCTATACAAATCTTATTGTAGAGCTTGTCTTTCCAAGTTTGTAACTAATTGAAGACAGAGTCCATATTTTATTCCTCTTCCAACTCATGTTAGAAACTCTTAGTAGAACCTAGTGTTTTAGCAGCTGCTCAGTGACTAGAGATTCACTGGGTCAGTCCCCATGAGAAAGTACCCAACGTTTTGCTTTCTTTGCTAGATCCCTGACACATCTTGTACCCTTCTTCTTTCTCTTTTCCCCAAGGTCTTTGGTCCTTGATCCTTTGTTCTGCCTCTTTTTATGGCCTCTATTAAGCCCTCACACTTGTCATTGGTTTTCTGGCTTTCTTCCTCAACTCTGACTTACTTTTGCCCCATCCAACCGCTCTGACTGAACAGCTCACTAGACCAGCTTCATTCCCTAGCTCAAATTCTCTAGGAACTCTGCCCATTCTCCCACTGCACTACTGCAAAAGAAGGAATGAGATGACAAAACTGTCCAGATATAGCAAACATGTCATTTCTTCCCCGCTTGCCCATCCCCTTCTGTAAAGTCGCTAGGGATGTTTGTTTAAATCCACAGTGATTTTTTGGCTTGGCCAGTCCTGTGAGCTAGTGATTGCAAGAAGTTTGAAAAGGAAGAAGAGAATACCCAGTTAATCACTCCCAGTCAATCCTGTCTTGTTCTTGACCCTGGATCTCAGGGGTTTAAAGACATCCAGGGAAAAACTAAGAACACTTAAAGACATCCAGGGAAAAACTAAGAACATTTAAAACTACTTTTTTAAGCTTCTTCTTGACCCTAATACAGCCAATCCCGATGTCCCATGCCCACCTATTTTCCTACATGGCAGTTTTTTAAGACTGTTGCTATCTTGGCATCAGGCAGTATCAGTAGTGCTAGAACAGGCCTTGGACAAGAAAAGATCCTGGTCCCCTCTGCCGCTGGTACCAATCTATGCCTCATAGACTGGGAACTAAGGTGGCTCCAGTGGCATTGTATCATATTTGAACTAGACTGTCTAGCCATTTCTTTCTTGGCCTGGAGGTTGTCCATCCTCAGAAACAGTCCAGGCACAGCTCTTAACAGTCCCCAGCTTTCCACACACACATTCAAAGGATATCAGTGCGGTGACAACAGCATACGCAGACCCCATTGCAAATGAGCCGGCGAAGATCCCCAGGAAATTCCCCACAGACTGGAAGAATGCTGCAGCATCAAATGTATTTGGATTCTCCTTGGGGCTGTAAATGGATATCGAACTGGAAAGAAAAGAGGGTGAAGGTTAGTCAGTGACTTCTCTCTTATAGCCCAAATACCAGAAGTCAAAAGTTAGCACCCACTTCTGAGGAGGGTACCTTGTCCCGTGAGGTTAGGTGCTGGTTGGAAGAGTTCAGGAGAAACAGATGAGGACAGGGAGAGGTAGAGAAAGTAGAGAGCTTTCTTTCCCTTCCCTTACAGCCCATTCCCATGGTATCCATATATTGCTGCCAGTCAGTAAACATTTTTATATTGGAAGGGTCATAAAGAATATTGTTTCTGAGCAAACTAGGCATTAAAACATGGTAGGTGTATAAGGAATCTGCTGAGGAGATAGATAACTGTGAATTATTTAGTGGCCATATGTCTTCAGTGCTGTTATATATTCACAAATGCTCCTGATAAAAAGTACACTTTTATGGCCTGTGCACAAATGGGCAATACAAATCACAGCGTGCACAAAATATTCTGCTGTGATCTTGTCATAAACCACAAAGCATTCCTCCTCTCCAGTGTAACCCTTCAGAAACAGAGCCCAGAGGATGCTTAGAGCATCACAGTATTAACCCCTGGGGAGAGACAAAAACCCTCATTTTCCCACCAAAACAAATGGCAGCAGCTGCCCGAGGTCTTGTTTTATACCCCAATTCTGGTGGCTGCCAACAGATTTATTTCCATAGAGAAAAATCAATCCACCAATAGGCAACCTGTTCACTTAAATATTTTTGAGGATGCCACATTTGTTATTTTTTTTAACAAGGGCCTTAAATCCCAGAAGGACAAGGTGTGTCCTATTTTAAGAAATGTGAACTCCATATTGTAGCATTAAAATGAACAGGTGTGCTAGAACCAGGAGCTTGGGGGAGACAAATGAAGTAACATTTCATTTTTTTAAATAGTTTTTATTTTAATTATGAGGTCTTTAAAACTAATCAGGAAAATCAAGAGTTTTGTAATAGGCTCTGGAAGGGACTTTGTAGCAGTATAGAGAGCAAAAAGTACACTAGACACACTGACTTGAGATTAGACTGGATTTTACAGAGATGTAACTGAATCTTTTATGGTTTGGATGATTAGAGCATGTTAACTCTCTGGTTTGACTTTCTGTATCTAGAGACTAGTTAAGGGGGTGGGGAGGGGGATTCCAGTTTTTCTACAGGAAGATGTGTGCTTAAAAAAGTAGTTTTAAATGTTCTTAGTTTTTCCCTGGATGTCTTTAAACCCCTAAAGTAGGCCAAACACTTCTACTTTGATCATGTAATTGGATAAGGAAGATGAATGTGGATCTCAAATGGAGCTCTTGAAATGTATGCGAGAAAAGGATTGCCTTTGAAGTGTTTTCTCTTTGTAAAGTGTTCTGTTTTGCAGAAAAAAAAAAAAAGGAAAAGCAAACCCATATTTAGGTCCATTGTATCTGACAGTCCTGAGAATGGGTGTATAACCCCACGGCCATTATGAAACTTGGTGCCCAACACTGCAAAGCTTGATGTATGAGTTAACATTCACCAGCACATTTCTTCATTCCAGTGAAGGAACATAGTGATGCAAAAACATTCTCCTTGCGTTCTGCTTTTCCAAACAAAGAGTTTTGCATAGTAACACAGCTCTGTGAATAATTCTGTTAATTCCTGAGGCTACCAATAGATCTGATCCATAGAACAGGTAACTCTTCATCCCCATCTCCACCTCTGCACTCCAGAAATTATTTTCTCTGTCCTTATACTTCTTGACCTTGGAGTACCATCATCACATCATTTGGCCATAGCAATATGTAATGTTACTTCCATTATTAATGTAATGTTTTTCTTTAAACCAACTCATTTTTATTCAAATGCAAGAGCTTTTATTAAAGAATACTTACGTATGAAGTCATAGGTTTGATGTGCTAATTTTCTTTCTTCTTAATACCCATGAGATTATGTAACTATTACATTTGATGAAAAGTTCACCTGTGTGTCACCTACAATCATCTGGGTAACCACACTGATTCTCAGCCTGCATTCTGGGAGATATTCTCTTCCTGGGCTCTGATCCTCATCCAGTAGGGTACAGGCAAACTTCATATACTTCTTCCCTGTGATGTTGGATTTAACTTAAGGGAAAAACTTAACTTCCCTTGACTTATGAAGACTTGTCTGTTGAGTGTGCTGCCCCTAAAGCTCCCTAGGATGTATGCACTGGGTACCCACTAAGGGCCTGGTGGTGCATTAAGTGTAGGGTGTTGGGGGGCAGGCAGGAAAGGGCGTAGAGAAGAGAAGCAGAATTTGAGTAAATAGACATTTTATTGAACATATACAAGGCGTATCTAGGCACAGGGGCCTGAGATGTAGATGACAACTAGCTCTAGTCATGGTGCTAAGTATGATTTTTTTGAGAGATATGTAACATTTAGTGCTGCAAATGAGGCAAGAGTCACTACTTTAGATGAGAGGAGATGGCATTTGAGCAAGGAAGCAAGTCAACCAACAGTGATGGGAAGAGGGTACTTCAGGCAGTAGAAAGAGTGTAAGCAAAGGCCAGAAGGCAGATGAGTTGAGGACACTTCAAGCAGAACTATCTAGTTATGGCTGGAACACAAGGACCATGTATGTGGGCACCTATGGAGGTAAAGATAGTTAGATGGCATCACTCAGCCTTAAATTTCATGTTAAACATATACAAAAGTCCTCACATTTACATATCATTTTGTCCCCTTTAGGCCTGCATTATAACTTCATTTGATCCTATAACATTTCTGCCAGGTAAACAGGGCAGGTATTTTTATCCCTCCTTTTCTTCCTTTTTTTTTTTTTAATAAAACAAAGAAACTAAGGGTCAGAGAAATTAAGATCATAGAGCTATGGAGTTCAACATGCAGATTTTTTGTTTATTCCTTCAAAAAGTGATCTTGTTGGGAGGAAAACAGGAAAAACAGGAACCCAAATCAGGATAGCTGAGTGCTGCGCCGATTGTAAATGCAGAAGTTCAGGTACCAGAACCTTTAATTTCATCCCTGGATGGAACATGGGCAGCACCTTCCTGTGTGCAAGCATAGAGCGGATTGCACTGTATGGGATGGCAGCACCCTCTTCCCCACCTCACTAGACTGCGAGACTCGGGGCTTCTCATGGGAATCTGCTTTCAGGCCCGGGTCTTGGACTTGAGCTTTGCTGGGCCTGGCCTGGGTCTTGTTCTTCTTCATATGACCAGGACACAGACTGGTGCCTGGCACGTGGCAGGCCAAATAAAGATGAATGAAATAAAGGCAGGACGACTGGAAAGTAGAAAGGAAAGAAAGAAGAAATACAGGAAAGAAGGAGGTCTGCAAAAGCTAGGCTTGAAATGAATCATCGCCTACAAGAGTTCCTTTATTAAGCAATGACTTTATATATTTACACTGTGGGTACTTTTAAGTTCATCAACCCAAACTGAAGGTGACACTTGAGACATCTCAATTCAGAGATCTGACCCTTATTGGCTCTATGGCCTTGGGCAAGTTATTTCATCACGCTCAGACTCAGTCTCAAAGTCTGTAAAATGGAAATATTAATAGTACTTATCTCCCAGAAATGCATGAGGATATGAGGTACATTTAAAACCTGTATATTCATCTTGTAGACTGTAGGACCATTCATTGAATACTGATTATGTGCATGAAAAATAAACACTCACTGAATGCTGACGATCATCACCACCATCACCATCATTCTGTTAAGAACTTCCATAAGCCTCACAATGACAGAGAACAGAGTGCTGTGGCTGAGCCAGGCCCCAGCTCCAACTACACAGAGATGGGGTGTGGCTCTCCTCCCGGCATACCAGGCTTCCGGGTTGCTGCAAGGAACTAGTCACTTTTGTGTGGGAACAGAAGGATTTCCTGGGAGGACATGGTCATTGAAGTCAGGCTAAAATCTGTTCTGTTTATTGCAGAGCTCTTCACTCCATGGATCCACAAAGAAAGGAGCGTCCTTGGCAGTCTGGGTAGGAATCTGTCTCAGGACAAGAACAGGCAAGGAGACTGAGCTTGTGTTGCTTCACCCCTAGTTAAGTGGCTCACCCCTCCTGGATGTTCTGTAGGCAAAGCCCTCTGGCTTCAGGTGAGGAGTGAGGTAAAGAGAGCAGGTAAAGAAAAGTCAGGCAGGTTGCATCTCTCCTGACTGCCAGGATTTTGGGAAGCTGTTCTTCTGGGCTGCAAATCCTGGTGAAGGAGGCACCTCTTTCGGCTCTGGTTTTCAGCTACAACACTAAGCCTATGGATTGTGGGGCAACAGCTGCAGAGGGTGCTTTCTGGAAACAAACAAGTGTTTGGGTAGCATATGTAGAGCTTTCCAACTTCAACCCAAGAGAGGAAGAAATAGCTGTTCCAGCAGTTGCAGCCCTTTGGACTTAAAAAGAAAATATTTCCTCCCCTGCACTGAGGGACATGCTTGGACCATTCGTGTATGCAAACATTGGAAGGGAGAGAGGAGAAGAAGAAGAATTAAACTTTCTGCTAACCTGTGTGGTGCTTGTTCTCTGGGGCACTACTCTGAAGAGGCATTGTTTATAACACAAGCTAGTAAAGATAGATCTACAATCCCCATATTTCTGGAAAGAATATTTGAGTTAGATGAAACCAATTTCCTTGAAAGTGCTATGAGCAGAAATACATAGTGGTGTTTAAATATTCATGTCATAAATTGGAAATAAGTTCAGGTTATTGATTCATTCTATTCAGGAAAAGATTATTCAGCAAAAATGAGTTTGATGATAGTATATTGTATCCATTCTCAGAAATAAATGTGGGCAGCATCTTTTATTCAAAAATTTTGAAATGGATGAAATACCCCAATTCCTTTGATGAAAGCAACATGAATAAGGATCATGTTGCTCACTGTACCATTTAAGATTCACAGACAGGATCGCAACTCTGGTGTTTCTCAACATCCCATTATTTAATCTTTACGATGTTCCTTCAGGGAAGTCACTTGGCAGCTTAGGTAGTATTGAGAGCATAGAATCTGAATCTGGGATCTGGGTTCAA